AAAAAAAAAAAAAAAAAAAAAAAAAAAAAAAAAGGAATAAGCTTGCTTGGAATGTGAAAAAAGCACAGCCCAAAAGTTCAATCACAGTTCTCCAGATTCTCCTCCTGGGAAGGCTCAGGACTGGAGGACGGGCCTGCCCCGGAGGGAGGTGGAGCACTAAGTCTTGGAGGTCTTGACTGTTCTCCTGAGCGCACCTCAGAGCCCAGCCACTGTGCCCTTCTTCCCAGTGTTGCTGGTTTTCCTATAGACCCTCTTGTTCCTCTCACACTAGTGCTGCATTTGGTACAAGAGCCCACATTTCAGATGTGTTCATTCTTGTTCTTTTCTTAGCGAAACCCTGTCTCCAAATTTAAAAACAGAAAAGATGTTGGGAATGTGCCTCAGTGCAAAGGCCCTGAGTTCAATCCCAAGTCATGCATAAACAGATGGGAGGGAGGAAGTGTTCTGTGGTCCACATCCTCAAGGCCCTGTTGAGACTGAGCTGTGCCTCAAGGGTCCTCCTGTGCACAACTTGGTGAGCTACAAATGCTTCTGCCAGCTTCTTATTCTTTGTTCGCCTCCTTTTTTCTCCCTGTGTCACTAGAGTGCTCAACTTTGACAGTTCCCTGAATCTATGTGTGACATCTGGCTGCGGGCACTGTTCAGCTGCATAAATACAATAAAGCAAAACTGAAATAACCTTCTAGATGTCCAGTGGTGCCAAGCACGATGGTCCACTTGGGAGGCTGAGGCAGGACAGTTGCAAGTTTAAGGTCAGCCTGGGCAACTGAGTGAGACCCCTGTCTCAAAATAAAATTTTAAAGGAATTAAAGGGGGTACCTGCTTAGCCTATGTGAGGGTGAGGACTCGATCCCTAAGGCTGTCAAAAAAAAAAAAAAATAAAAAAAAAAAAAAAAGATGCCCAATGCAAGCCAGAGTTGTTGCTGCATGAGGTGACTTTGAGAGCAGAGTCAGGAAAGGTCAGGAATGAGCCTTTATTTGAGGAGCTATTTTTCCGTGAAAAATTTATCACGCCATTGGCCTAACCCTGCGTCACAGGCCCAAATTCATTTAATAATCTCCCAAGCTGAATTCTGAGCTGTTCATCATGTTACTCATCTAGGAATACATGGTTCGCCGTCTTTCACCAGATGGAATCATCACAGAGCCGGGGCCACCATTGTGGGGCAAGGGTTACAAAGCCCCCCAGGTCTGGCAAGCAATGTTTGGCTTTCCTTGAGCCACGGCGCTTGTGAGGAACTGCAGAATTAAAAGACAGGTAGTGAAAGAACGGAAAGACAGAATGACACTACCCACCTCCCCCACTCGTGCAGCTGAGTCAAGGACTTGGCCTGGAATCTTCTTACCTTCTTGGTCCCGAGTCTGTGGTGAGGTGCACCTACCTTGCGTGATTCTCAGAAAGTGTTTTCTGGTCCTGTAGGGGCTTTGAACTCCTCCTGCCCTGGAGCAGCACCCTGCATACAGAGCCCCGTGCAGCCTGCAGGTTGTGGCCTCTGTGCATGGACCTGGGACCCAGAAGCTCTGAGCCCACAAAGCGTCACCCTCTGCCTAGGGCGCATTTCCTAAACGCCTGTGTTACATGGGAAACAACAGAGCAAACCGGCTGATTTTTGTTTTTTAACAACATCCTTCTAACCTCCTGGTGGAATGTCTTATTTTGTTTTCCAGAAAAAAAGAGCTTCGTTTTATGAGAACATCATTAAGGCCATGAGGCCTCAGCCTGAATACTTCGCCGTGGGGTACTACGGACAAGGTTTTCCTTCTTTTCTGAGGGTGAGGAGCCTGAGGGTGGTCTCCAAGGCCAGGAGGCCGCCTGCAGCACATTAGCACTTCCACCCTTGGTCCTTGCAGTGGGAGGTTGGGTGGGAACGGCTTCCTGAGTGCTGGCCTCTTCACCCTGCACCCCAGGCCTCCCGGCCTTCAGTTGTTTTTTATTTCTAGCCAGAGCTACTTGGAAAGCAAGTCTCCTACGAATAAAGACTCTTATCAGTCTTCCCAAAACAAAAAAGTGAAACTACGACAAGGACAGGGTTTTTCTTCTTTCTCAAAAACTTCTATAATGTAATATGCCAGTGTAATTTTAAAAACAGAAAAATTTGTATCTTCTCCCAAAAGAACACCTCTTTTAGATCTGAGAGTGGTTTGAACAAATATTAGTCATTGTCCTACATGTAATTTAAAAAAGAAAAAGTGGTAAAAGATTCCCAGCAGTGCTCATTGAGTACAATTTATTCCATCATTCACTGAGTATCTGCTGAGTACCTGTCCTGTGCCAGGCATGCGTGAGGCCCTAGAAATACCCTCCTGTCCAGTCAGTCCTCTCCCAGCCCTCCCGGATTGTACAAGCAGATGGGGGAAGTGCTGAATAATTAATGAAATTTAATCTAACCAAGAAAGGTTCCTGTGCTATAAGACCTGTGAAAAGGGAGTATTCATCCAAGTGCAGTAGAAACGTATCTCTTCACAAAGATAGTAGGGGATTGCATTAGTCACTTCCCCATCACTAGGACAAAATACTTGACACACTTAGGAGGAGGAGAAGAGGTTTATTTGGCTCATTGTTCCCCACAGGTCCAGTCCATAGTTGGCTGGCTCCCAAGTAGAAGTTGCATGGGAAAAGGGCCTAGGAAAGGACAGCTACTCGACTCATGGCAACCAGGAAGCAGAGAAAAGGAAGGAGCCAGGGACAAAAATAACAGCCTTCCCGGTCACATTTCTTTGGACCCATCACCACTTCATAACAACACATTCAACCATGAACTCAACAATGGGTCAATCCACCGATAAGTATAGCACCACCACCCCCATGGATCCAGTCACCTGCCGCAAATCCGATCTCTGAATACATGAGACCATGAGGGACACTGTAAATGTAAACCATAACAGGGATATTTGTAATACTCTCATCATCGTCACCACAGACTGGAGCCATCCTGCATGTCCATCAGCTGCTCCGTGCCATGGAGTACTACTTAGTAATACAAAATACCAGGCTTCCAAGGTGCTGTCATGGGGTCAGGCTGAAGTGTATGATGCTAGGTGAAGTTAGATTTAAGGGGCTTCATGCAGTGTGGCTCCCTTTAGGTGATGCTCTTGTGCAGCAGAGAGTAGATCAGTGGTTATCTGGTACTGGGGGAAGTTGGACTACGGAGGGTCCTAGGGAAATCCTGGGTGGTGATGAAACTATTCCATATTTTGATAGCAGTCACGGTTACATTCGTCAAAACTCACAGATTTTACACTAAAAAAAGTTCATTTTTATTGTATGCCAATAATGCATTAATTTTTCGAAGAGTCAGGAAAGACTTCCCAAGGCATTTCTGCATCAGCTGCAATCTGAAAGGTGAGCTGGGAAATGAGGAGGAAGTAAAAGCAATAGGGAAAGCATTCCAGGCAGAGGACACAGCAGGAAAGAGCCTGACAAGGCCCAGGGATAAGAGCAGACCGTGCAGAGCCAGGAGATGAGTCAGGAGGAGACACAGAGCCTTGTCTTTGTGTAGGGTGTCTTGTTTGCTTGCCAAGAGCAATGGGGATCCATTGTAGAATTTTCATGTTGGAAAAGTCACCTGGCCTTGCTGTGGAGCATGGGCGAGAGCTGCATGCAACCAGCTACTCAGAAACGGTTACAGATGTTCAGGCAGGAGATAACATGCTGGACGTGGAAGGCGCTAATGGTGGATGTAAGGAGAAGTGGAATGATCTGAGTAATGGAGACAGAGTAATAGGGTTTGATGATGGGTGGGCTGTGTGATTGAGGGAAAGAGGAGGTGTCAAAGATGGCCCCTCGGTTTCCAGCCTGCACAGTTGGAGGGGCAGAAGAGCCAGGTACTAGCACAGCAGGACTCGTAAAGAACTGACAACATGGGGGAGAGACTTAATCATTGAGTAAGTGTTTATCATACTGCAGGCCTCGCTCCAGTACAGGCCTGGACACCAAGCCCAGAGTGAACCCAAATCCTGGAAATGATCAAGTTTATGTTCCAACTTGGAGCAGCTAACATTGAGATAAATCAGTCGCACCTGGGCAGTGATGGCCTCGAACCCTGCCTTGTGTGATGTGTGATTTGGTGATTATGGTGGAGACTGTGGGCCAGGGACAGTGAAGAGAGAGACAGCCATTGAGAAGAGCTGCCGTATCAGATAGAAAGAGCAGGAAAGACTTCAGTTGGAAAATTGACATTGGACCAAAACCTAAAAGTGTCAGCCATACGGTGTAGTGAGGAGATGAGCGAGGGTTCTGACATTAGTCTCACCAAGACGAGAAGCTGTCTATGCCTCTTATTACACTGGCTTCTTGTACCACATGAAATGACGGATGGGAAAATAGCTAGTCAGAAAACTGACTCAGAAAATTCAGAATTAAAACCTCTTGATGTGATGTTGGTGCTCAAAAAGCTTCAAATCTGGATTGTGGATTTGGGGATTGGGAACGCACAGCCCGGGTCCTGCTCTCCGAGGCGGTGCCGTTGAAAGCGCCGCTCCACAAACTCAAGTGATAAGGTAGACAAGTACTTTACACCTGAGTATGAATTAATGAACTTCTTTCACCAAGAACGTCTTGCTGTGAAAAATACCAGCTAAATTTAAACTGAACAGTGCCTGCTGATGTCCTAGATTTACATTAGGACACGTGCTCACTGTTTCCCTGTGCATTTGTGCAGACTGTTGGCAGACTGGCTGTGGTTGTTGGTCCATGCTATGAGGAGCACTGTGCTGAGTAATTTTTACGCCTGTGAGTCAACTGCTCAGGCTCCAAGCTCCTGTCAGATGTGACACCGTAGATTCTCAGGAGAATCAGGCAGTGCATTGAGTTTGGCTGGGCCTACAGCGCCTTCTCAGTCTCTAGACCTCTGGTGGTACCTGCAATCTTAGTGGATAATGCGTTCCCTTGTCTCTTACCTGCAGAATAAAATCTTCATCTACCGAGGGAAGGAGTATGAGAGGCGAGAGGACTTCAGCCTGCGTGTGCTGACCCAGTTCCCCAGTGCTGAGAAGATGACCAGTACCACGCCCCCTGGAGAAGACATCAAAATGTCCCCGAAGCAGCGCATCCTTGCCGTGGGGAAAGTGGTGCAGCGGCCGTTGCTCCGGGGCAGCCCTCCTAAGCCAGGGAAGCCGAGGGTTGCACGTCCTTCTCTGTAGGCAGACATGGCCTGGGTTCTCAGGACTCAGCTTCCCATTCCATGCAAAACCTTTGGGGCCCCAGTATCCTTAGGAAAGAGATGAGCAGCAGATCTTTAATAAGAAGGGATGCATCCTGTAGCCAGATGGGAATCCTGAGGCAAGAGCAGACTTCCTGTTCTGAGCTTGGGATTCTCTCATATATTCTCTTAGATTATTCTCATTCTCTTATAGACTGAGATGATATGCAGTTATCCCTTGGTATCCTTGGGGGATTGGGTTCTGGGACCCCTCAGTCTTCACTTTATGGATTCTAGAATCTACAGATGCTAAATTCCCTTGTATAAAATGTAGTATTTAAATATAACCTATGTACATCCTCCCTTCTGCTTTAAATCTCATCTGTGCATTACAGTCCTTAGAGTCCCTAGCACCAGATACTTGTCGCCCTGTATCATGTAGGGAATTGTGATGAGGGGAGAGTCTGTGCGTGCTCAGTACAGATCCCGTTTTCTGAAGGATAGTTTCGATCTTCAGCTGGTTGGCTCCAATACCGACCCTGAGTACAGAGGACCCACTATGTCTATACTTGTGACATGGCAAGGGGAGAAACTATTTCTAAGACTTGTTACCAAATGGGAGAAGCCAGCTTTACCCCCACCCCACCCCCAGTCCATTCTGAGGCATGACTGCGTTGCTTCCCAGTTCTGTGCTCTGGGGGTGTTAACACTCTGATCCTTGGGACTCTTCCTCTGCAAAGGGGGAAATAATACCCATCTTGCAGAGTTGTGTATATCGAGAGACAACAAATTCAAAATACCCAGCACACGCCAGCCAGGCACTTGATAAACAGATGGTAGTCAAAGATAAAAGCCATTTCTGTGCCCTAGGCTCCGAGGTCTGGCTATTTCAGAGCAGAGCTTTTCCAAAAGAAATTATTGTAAACCATTTCCGAGCACCTGTTTCTCAATATTTCATCAATGCTTGTTTTTTTATGGGACAAGATCTGCCAGGTTCCTTGCCACAAGAAATGTCCCAGGAATAATCACTTCCCCAGACCTTTAGGTGACATCTATGAGAACCCCATTTTCAGGGTGGTAAAAGGACTCTGGTGCCAGCGCTCTTTCCAGCTGTGACTCAGGTAGAGCAGCTGTGGGGCTGGGCTCTTCCTTTCCTTAACGAGCACCCAGACCTGCAGTGCTTCACTGTGAAGCCCGTGATGAGCCTGCCACCCAGCTACAAGGACAAGCCAGTGCCTGAGCAGATCTTAAAGTAAGTGATTCTTTTATTTCTTTAAATAAACCAATTTCTCTGTCTTACATCCTTTTTGTGGAGTACATCCAAAGCAAAGCTTAAATTCATTCCAGTTTGGAAGTTCTGCTGCCTCTTCTATTTTGAGTGTAAAATCAGAGGTTGATAATTCAAAAGGATGTGGATTTTGTTGTTTGGACCGAGTGGAATCAGGAATTTCACTCTTACGGGTCAGATCCCTTAGCTCTTCCCCCTCAGAAGCGTAGCTCAGACTGCCTGGTTCCCAGCGATTAAAGCTGAATCTCATGTTTGCAGAGGCTCGAGTCCTACAGAGATTGATTGGTTACAAAGATGCAGGTATAAATACCTGGTAACATTGTGAGCTGTGAAATAAACTCACAAATAATAAAAAGGAAGACATCAAATAAAGAGCACACTGGTAGTGTTCAGCGTGGCCCCTGCTGGCCGTGAGCTGGTGCTGTGGGTGAACCTCAGCACCAGCGGTCTCTGGAGTTGGGGACCCAGAGCCAGGGGTACCCACTCCAAGAGAAAAAGTGTCACATGGTTTCTGTGTCCTTCCCCAGCTACTACAGGGCCAACGAAGTGCAGCAGTTCAGCTATTCCCGGCCATTCCGGAAAGGAGAAAAGGATCCAGACAATGAATTTGCTGTGAGTCCGCCCCATTGACTTTCTAAAACGAGGTACAGCAGTGCTGGAGGCTTCCACCCCAGCAGTGCACACGGCAGAAATGACGGCACCCCCGAGGAGAGGGGCTTCACTGCCGGCCACCTAGACAGCAGGCTGTTGCCTCAATGGGGGACTCTAGACACAGGGCCAGAAACTCAGACCTGCCACTCACGGGACCTTGGGCAAGTCACACCTCCCTGGACCTCTGTTTTCCATCTTCAGGATGGGAAGGCCCAAATAGATGACCCAAATCCCCTACATTTTATGTGGCCCGTTCATGGGGCAGCACGTGGGAAAGGATTCTCACATCACCCATCCCCCGTGTGGGGTAGGGCGGGGTTACAGCTTATCCTAGAGCTGACGTCCATTTTGTGTCCCTCCCTGCTCCAGAACATGTGGATTGAAAGGACCACGTACACGACGGCCTATACCTTTCCTGGGATTCTCAAGTGGTTCGAAGTCAAGCAGATTTCAACAGTGAGTCATTTGAAATTGGAACTCAGAAAGAAAGAAAAAACACTTTCTGTCTGCAAATATAATAACATCCTTTGTTAAGTTCCCTTTGCGTTTTGCACCACTGGCCAACTTTGTGTTTCAAAAGAGAAATAAAAGGCCCGATTGTAGGACAGGCAGGCTTTGTAAAACTGATGTTCCAGCACCACCCTAAAGGTTACTCACAGTGAATGAGTCTTTTATGGCGGAAGGAGCCCTGTCTCCGCCATGATCTGCCCGTGCCCAGAAACATTTGTGGAATGCCTCTTGGGAGTTTCCTGTCCGTCGTGGCCTCTCCCAAACCTCTCTTCTCCCTTACTGTCAGCAAACTGCCTGCCCAGTCGCCCTCACTCCTCCTCTTTACCACTCCCCCAAGATGCTCCTTTGCTTTTTCAGTATTTATTAAAGCTGTTCTCTTTCCAGCCCCCCGACTGTGGCCCACTTTCTTGTCCCCGCTTCACCTCCAGTTGGCGGCCCCCCACTGCCTGCCCTGCTCTGGCCTCGCAGGCCCATCTTTCTTGCCGGCTCCCAGTAGGAATCCTGTGGAAGAGGAGTTGATGCCCTCGCCCTTGCAGCCCTTCTGCAGCTCCCTGGTGCCTAGGGTACAGAGCCCAGACTCCTTCACAGCCGCGGACAGGCCTTTGGGACTCAGCCTCCCTCTCCATAGGCCCCCTTCCCTCTCCTGGAGAATCTGTCGGAACTAGACTGAGAGTTCCAGGCCGTTTCAGCGCTTCGTGATGCTGGGTGTTTTTCTCTGCCTGAAATGTCCTCTCACTGCAACTGAACATACAGCTGACTCCCATCAGGATTCAGTGTAGGCAACACTTTCTCCATGAAGCCGTGTGTGGGACGCCCAAGCTCCGTCAGATGCCTTTGGTCTGTGCTCTCGAAACCTGGGCGTCTTCCCAGCCCACCCTGTTTGCAGTGTCCTCGGTCCCCAGTCAGACCAGAAGCTCCTCCCAGCCTTAAACTACAACTGACCCTCTCTAAACAATGTAGTTTAACATTTGCAGTGTAGTTTACATTACAATGTAATAGCTTTTACATATGTTAGGGATTATAATGGTAATCTAAAGATGATAAAAAGTATGAGGAGGATGTAGGTGATTATATGCAAACACCATGACCTGCCATGCCTTCTTATCTTCTAGAGCCCTAGACTCAATCCCCTACAGATAATGTGGGGTGACTGTGTATCTTAATCACCCCGAGGGAGGGATGACTGCATATCTTAGTCACCTTAGTAACTATGGTGCATAACATGGCACTTAGCATAGCGTAGCTGCTCTAGGAGTGTTTCTTGGACTGTGGATTCGGCTCAGTGGCGAGCACTTCCTGGCATGTGCAAGGCCCTGGGTTCCATCCCCAGTGATATGGAAAAAAAAAAAGAACAAGTCTGAAGTTTTCTGTGCTCCTCAGCACTTGTGATAAATCATTCTTAAAGTATGGTGTTGTTTCTGGATAGAGACGTTTGGAATGAAGTCTGGAGCAGATGGTCATGTGGCTGAGGATGGGTTTTGCTAGGAACCTGGATTTGAAGACATTTCCGTAGTCAGAGCGCTCCGTACGTGCATTTACGTCTGATTTCATTTTCTTCTACGACTCTCCCTGAATGTTCTACTACATCCCATTATTTCCGACTTCTGTTAACTGCCAAATCTATTTGTGGTTACTTATGCGTAATAGGAATGTAGGGCCTCCGAGGTCATGGGCCTTTTTTCACAGAGGTGGCGTCACACTCTTGTCAGGAGACATTTTTGGTGGTGCAGACATTCCTCAGATCTGCCCTTCTGCTGTCACTGATCTCAGAAACCCTTGAGAGCGCTTTCCCTAAGAAATGACCCTTGCTGCAGCTCCGGTGCTCTCCAATGTCGTACCCATTTCGCTTGAAGGAATAATCAGTCATCACCGCATGTTCAGTGTTTAAGTCATCGGTCTACTTTCTGAGGAAGCGTTAACCAATGTAATTTTTTTCTCTTTTCAACCCCACTGCAGAACAGTATGGTGTCTTAATAAACATATTGACAAGCAAGACTTGGCTCCTATAGCTAGTGGGCATTTGACACCTCTAGAGGGGGATGGGCAAGCTCTCCCGAGTCTTTGCTGTGGTGCTCACAGATGTCCGCTTCCTTGTGCTCTGCTCCCCAGGAGGAAATCAGCCCTTTGGAGAACGCCATCGAAACCATGGAGCTGACCAACGAGAAGATCAGCAACTGCGTGCGGCAGCACGCCTGGGACCGCGCCCTCTCCGTGCATCCGCTCTCCATGCTGCTCAATGGCATCGTGGACCCAGCTGTCATGGGGGGATTCTCCAACTATGAAAAGGTGAGCGAACCCCACAGTCGTCTGCAGGGCTCCCCCTCCGCCCTCACACAGCTGGTGAATCTTTTCTACAGCTGCTCTAATTTTTTTACTCTCCTGTCCATGAAATAGTCAAATGAAATTAGCAGAAATGTTCTGCCTGACCTTACATGTCTTGGAGAGCAGCAGTAACCAGCCAGGGATCAGCCACTACCCTGTGAAGCATCAGGGAACTGCAGCCCCATGTGTTTCTGGCCCATACACCTGCTCTTTCTCTCCTCTAAGAGCAGACAGCTAGCAAGTGGACCCCAGAATTCAGGATGTTCTAAGGTGAGGCATCTGTGGGGAAGCCGGAAACACGCTGTTTAGAATTAGTTTCTAGGAATCCCTGTCCAGGCTTTTTGTGCCTTAGGACAAGTGATGGCCTTGGATCTCCAGTGAATGACATTAGTTGGACTAAGTATTACGTCTGTTATTCTGAAAAGGCAGGAAAGGAGTAGTAGCCACCTTATAAGCCATTGCATAGGGTTTGGATGGAGCAGCACTTAAGACGGAGGCCGTACACTCAGAGGTTAAGCACGGTTAGAGGGCAGGGCTCATAATTGCTATGGCATGTTTATGGTGGCCACATGCCTCCAGAGTCCTTCTCTTGAATAATCGTTAGGGGAGGAGGGCCCCTGCTATTGGCTGGAGAGAGCATGGAAAGAGCAGGCGCTGGGGTGGGTGACGGTGATAATGACTAGCACCCTCGATTCTGTTTGTATGTAATATCCTGGGGGAGTGGGGCTTGGCAGCCCTGCACGCTTAGGGGTTTTCACTCACCACTGTGTGTCCCCAGATGACATCTTCACCCTCCTGAGCTCCAGGGACCTGCAGATGAGGAACATGCCCTCTCCCAGGGCTGATGAACGTTTCGTGTAGTCAGTTATTGACCAGGTCTTCACCATGCGATGGGTGCCTGCATAAAGGGTGCAGTGCCAGGCACAGGAAGTGGTGGCCTTGGTCAGTGGCAGTTTCCTTCCTGCCTCCCCCATCCACTGGGAGCAGAATGGGTCACGTGGGTGCTGGTCACGAGTGATGCCACCATGCTCTTGTGGCTGCTGCTATAGGAACAGTCTTTCTTCTCTCTCTCCTTAAATATTTTAGCCTTTGTTACTCAGCAGCTAGGAAAAACTCAACGCCAAGTATAATTCTAGTTTGCTCATTTTCAGTTCCAATAACAATTTTCAGTGTAATAATGGAAGTCAGTACAGAAATAGAGTCCAAAATACATTCCTTTTTTAATACTATAGTGCTTTGAGTTTGTATTTTTTTCTGATACTAGTTTTAATATATTTTTCCAAGGATTAATTGTTTATAGAATACCTCTAAACCATAAATTCTTATGTGCAAATATCTGTAAATAATTTCCTAAGTTTTTGCAACATGACAATGTTCCACTTAAAGAAGTTTAATTGTTTATAGAATACCTCTAAACCATAAATTCTTATGTGCAAATATCTGTAAATAATTTCATAAGTTTTTGCAACATGACAATCTTCCACTTAAAAGAGAAAAAAAGGTGGGTTAGAATGGTGCGTGCTTGTGATTCCCACACTCCAGGAGGCTGAAACAAGGAGTCCAGCCCGGGCAACTTAGCCACCTAGTGAAACCCTGTCTCAAAAGAAAAGAATAGTAAGAAAGGGCTGGGGAAGCAGCTTAGTACGAAAGCCCTGGATTCAAGTCCGAGTACCAAAGTGGAAGTGGGATGGTGGGGGAGGAGAGAGAGAGAGAGAGAGAGAGAGAGAGAGAGAGAGGGAGAGAGAGAGAGAGAGAGAACCATCCATCAAGGGAGATCGAGGCTGCAAAGATATATAAAAAAGTAAATTTCACTACCTGTGGCTGAAAGTCCTAATTTATACTTTCTGCTGCTGGGCAGCTCTGCTGGACAGTAACAGTCAGTATGCTCTCCTTAGACACTGCTGAACTCAAGCAGTACTCTGGGAATTTTAGTGTTTTATCCGTTATCAAAAAATTGTTGTAACTTAGAAAATGGAAACTCCTTTGCATTTGAAACTCCTTTTACTTGAAAACCCTAGTAAACACTACTGTTTCCTTTATACCACTATTCCCTGTCGTTACAGTTCTGGCTTGAATGAGGTACTTTGCTAATATCCACTGAGGCTTCCTGCACACAGCTCTGCCCACAAGAGTTTGCTCATATTCAGTTTGCCAAGTAAAATGGATTGGTCACTTTTATAACTCTAGCCTATTTCACAGGGTGGAGTTCTGCTTTTGCAGAAATAGAGGAAAAGAGTGAATTTGAAGGGTAGCCTTGGGTGCTTTTTCAAGCCAAGCATGGTGGCACATGCCTATCGTCTCAGCACTCTGGGAGGCTGAGGCAGGAGGACTGCAGGTTGGAGTCCAGACTGGACAAATTATCAAGAATTTATCTCACAAAAGCTTGAGGTTGGGGGAATGTTGGAGATATAGCTCAGTGCAAAGGCCCTGGGTTCAGTCCCCAGTACCCCCTAGAAAAGCATCTTCAGAAATGAAGGTTAACATCCAGGGCGAAAATAATGTAACTCCTGCAAATGTCTCTTTGTCTTTCCTAATGAGTCCTGTCTTCCATTACTCACCTATGTATACCTGTGTTTGGGAGTTAGGTTTAGGGCATATTTCCCTGTTCAAGGCCTGAGCTGATGGCCCATGTTTACTGTAAACATGCTCATAGAAATAAAGAGGGCAAACAGCCCACAATACCCTCATAACATCATGTCTGTATCTCATTTTGTTTTCCAAAGAGCCTTTTGACTAGATGATTAGTGAAAAGATCCCTTCATGTACCATTGGGAAAACGTGATACAGCTAAAGTCAGGGGAAAGAGCAGAAAAACGCAGCCACATCTCCTGCTTGTTAACATTTTGGGGATTTTTTTCCCTAATAATAGGCACACACTTAATTTAATTATTAAGTTTTAGATTCTGTTCTCTGGCCTTTTTTTTGGGGGGGAACACTGTTCTTTTAATGAGTAATATTTTACTTTGCTGGTGATTATTACTTGGTTAGTGAATGTGTGGGTATAGTGACTATTGAGAATGAACTAATGCAAGGAATTTGCCCAATTCCAAAAGACCACCAAACAAGACTTTTTTTTTTTTTAATTGTCCACTGTGGGATCTTCATCCAAGAAAAGGAGTGAATTTCTAGTTAGACATTCCTGGTTTATCAGAAGTTGTTTTTCACCTCCATAGGCTTCCTGGATCTCATTTAGGATCTGGAGCACAAATAGGAATGTGCTGTAACCAGCGCTTGTGTCTGTGTGTTTTTAGGCTTTCTTTACAGAAAGGTACCTCCAGGAGCATCCTGAGGACCAGGAGAAGGTGGAGCTGCTGAAGAGGCTGATAGCATTACAGGTGAGTGGCCAGGGAGGCGTGCAGCTGGCCACAGCTGGCTGGGGGTAGCCACAGCACCTGGCTCTGAGGACACTGTGCAGTGCTTTGGTCTACATGGCCACTTTCTGGGTTGCTTTCCTTCTTTCTTCTTTTAAAACTCTACGGAACTACAACCTATCTATGTGAGACTGAGGAATGGCGCTGAATTGAGCTGCACAAGGTTGAAATGTGTCTTCTTAGAGGTGAAATCAAAGTCCTTAACCTTCTTTGCTGGCCTGTGTGTCCAGCTGAGAGATGTTGGCCTCATTTTCTTCTCACCGTTTCAGTGGATAATGGCAAAAAACACAACCATCAAATTCATCTGGAGCCAAAACCAATCCGTGCCCATCCGCAGAAATGCCAAGCTCAGGTGGATTGGCCTTCCCCGTCAGTTCTTCCTGACTTTAGGGCTTTCTTTTGTCCTTGGTGTGCAGATTTCTCTGTGTGAAGGACCAAAGCACCTGCAGTTCCTAAGCCCTGCACTGAGAAATGAATTCTCATTTCATAGCACTGTCTACATTTAACCTGTCCAGCCCCACCCTTGCCCTTCCCCACCCTCCAAATCAGAATCATCCCTTTTATGCCCTTCCTTCTAGATGCCTCTGCTCACAGAAGGGATCCGCATCCATGGGGAGAAGCTGACAGAACAGCTCAGGCCGCTTCATGACCGCCTATCTTTGTGCTTCCGGGAACTCAAGGAGAAAGTAGAAAAGCTCTACGGGGTCATCACACTGGTAGGCCTTGTCTAAATAGCCCCCAGTTTTTTCTACTCTCTTGTGTGATATCTATCGATCAGGTTTTCAGATGCCAAGTGAGCCATCATGGTTTGGAGACGGCTTGAAAACATGGGCAGGGAGGGCCAGGGATTTAGTTCAGTGTTTCTGCTACCTGCCTCACAAGTGTAAGGACCTGAGTTCCATTCCTGTTACCAAAAAAAGAAAGTATAGGCAGGGAACAGAGCACATGTTTTGCTTTTGATAACCTTACTCCATCCTTGTGCTGAATAGAGGTTCGCAAACAGGAATGTCTGTCACTGCTACTGTAGGGCTTGAGAAAACAAGAATTACCAGCCCCGATCCCCAGATTGCTGACCCCACACATCTCCGTGGGGCCCCGGTATTCACCCTTCTCACAAGTGCCTGGGTGACACTGAGGCTATAGGGCTGGGTGTGGCGCTTTGAAGATCACAAGACTTACAGTTGAGTTTCTCTTAATCCCAGGCACTGGCCATCTGTATACTTAAGTTTTTCTGAATCTTCAGGTTTGATAAGTTTTTCCACATCTTTTCTATTTTGACAAGTTTACAGCTTTAACACCTTTAAAGGGGAAAATAGTTGTAAACTACATTTTACAACGAATACAGCCAGTTTCATGATTTCTTTGCCAGTCTTCACACATTTCTGCAGCTGTAATTTTCTTTTCTCTTTGAGGCGTTTGGATGAGGGGTGCATGTGCTAACTGTTCTCCCCAGCAGGTGATTAGATTATTGGTTCTAGTTTGTTGCTCTGCTCTTTCATTCGTTTGCCCTGCTGTCTTTAACAATCTTATTCTTGAGTTCTGCTTTTTCAAATTCTTTCCTCAGACCAAAGCTCTACACCCATTTCCTCCACAATCCTCTCCTGAGGCTTTCTGGCCACCTCTTCCCATCGTCCAAGTGCTCAATCCTGCTTTCTTCCTACACATTTATTTGCGTCTTCACTGCTGCTACTTCTGAGTTTCTTGACATTGATCAGGTTTTCAGACGCCGAGGGAGTCAGAATAGTTTGGTTGCGGCATGAAAATATGGGCAGACACCAGAGACCATGATATCTGACGGTGGCATCTAAAAACCTCCCTGAACAATGTCAAGTAGTTGTCTTTTGCACACAAGTTCCAGACAGAGGACTAAGCCTGTGCCCCACTAAATGTGGTCGTTAGCAGAACCAGGCCAGTGTGAGCAAGTGAATCGAACACAGTGTCCCCTGGGGGAACCCCCCATCCCACGCGTACATTTCTCATGAAAGTGGATCAACAGATTCTTCGGGTTCAGCTGCAGGTCTATGAATCTTCTTAGGCCAGGATTGCATTTAAAAAGAAAAAAACCAAAAACCAGTGTGTGCACCAGATCATGCGGGCTGAGCTCCCGGCAGCTAACCCTGAGGGCTCACGGGTTTTCCAGCCGACCAACTTCACCGAGAAGAAGCAGAGCCGCACAGGATCCCTGGTGCTGCCCTACATCATGTCCTCTACTCTGCGGAGGCTGTCCGTCACCTCACTCGCTTCCTCGGTGGTTTCCACGTCTTCCAACTCCTCTGACAACACCCCTTCCAGGCCAGGATCTGACGGGTAAGCTGCAGTCTTTACTCACCCGGCACGGGGTGAGGCCCTTGTGTTTGTCCTTGGGGTCCCAGCACGAGACCTCGTCCATGCGGGCAGCTTGAGTCCTCTGAGGAGACTTAATTCAGAGCACACAGGTATCAGTTTGCCTCTGGGTCATTGCAGTTTGTAAAAATAATTTCCATTTTCTTAATGAATGGTTCTTTTCTCTCTTTTTTGGTACCGGGGATTGAACTCGGGACCTTGCGCTTGCAAGGCAGGCAGCAGAACCACTGAGTTAAATCCCTGGCCCCTTAATGAATTGGTAAAATGATCACATAGTATGAAATTCCAAAGGTGCAAGAGGATTTATCAGGAAGAATCTCCTTTCAGTCCCTGGCTCTCAGCTGCAACACCGCTCTCTGGAGACGGCTATTCCAGCACGCAGATGCCAGTGCCTCTCCGGCAGCTCTTTGTAGAGATCACAGCAGTGCCTGAGGGCCTGCTCCTTCCCATACTTCCTTTGTATTTTGGGTATCAAACCCAGAAGCCCTCTACCACTGAGCTACATCCCCACTGCTTTTTATTTTTCAGTTTGAGATAGGATCTCACTAAGCTTCTCAGGCTGACTCTGAACTTGGCAATCCTCCTGCCTCAGCCTTCTAAGAAAATGAGATTACAGGCATGTGCCTCTATGCCTGGCTGCCTACACTTTTTTTAAACACAAAAATAGCATTCTGTTTCCCTTGCTTTATTCATGTAATATACCTAGAAAATCATTGCAATTTCAGAACACGAGGAACCTCCTCTTGCGTTTTCTGTATCTGCAGGCATCCTCTGGGTCTGTACCTCGATGCAGTCCATTTGGCTGATTAACTCCCATCTTTTCCTATCGCTGCTGCGTGACAGTGAATATTAAACTCCTTTTCCATGTGGATAAGTTGTTAGTCAGCTTTTCATCACTACCATGAAATACCAGAGGCAGGCAGCTTTGTAAAGAAAAGAGGTTCCCTGCACTCCTGAGTTTGGAATCCGCAAGTACAGACAGCAAAAGGCAAGCTCTGGTTGGGGCCCCTGGCAGACAGTGGCAGTTCATGTGAAGAAAGGGTCACGCAGTAAGGCAGGAAGCGGAAAGATGGGAACCAGCGAGCCCTGTCCTTTTCTAGCAGTGCTCCTGGGGACCTAAAGACATCTACTGTGTTACTGGCTGCCTGGACCTCTGTCCTGTCTGGAAATACCCAAGTATTTCCTATGAAAGAAGCCCTGGAAATGAAAATGCCCTATCAAAGATGAACATTTGCAATTTTGAAAATCACTCTTAAGGAGACTTCCCTAATGAGATGAGACCAGTTCCCACCAGCTACCCCAGGCCTTGCCACCAAAACGTCTTAGCAGTCTTGTTAATTTTGGCCAATCTGATAGATGAAAAATCTTGTCTTTGTTTCTGTTGTTATATAAAGTATTTTCTTGTATAGGTATTTTTTCTATGTGAAGTTGAAAATCTTTTTATTCGTTAATAATTACTTGTATTTTCTGTGAACTGAAGTCAAATTCTTTGTATCTGTTTTTCTGTTAGATTTTGGTCCCTTTGTGATATGAATTTCTACTTTTTTGACTTTCTTTTTTGTCTAATTTTTTATTAAGCTGTTCTGCCTTTTAATATAGTCAAATAAGTCAGTATTTTATTTTTTGACTTCTGGATTTTACGACACGAAGGACTTCCCCACTGGTCTTTTCATCAACTTTTAGAGTTTCTCTGTCACAGTTAAACCTGTTGATTCTTTGGAATTTATTCTAAGATTAGCTGTGAGATACAGAGTGAACCGTTTTCTTTTCCAAATGGTTACCCAATCCTCTTCCTCTTAACTGTTTTTCAATCTGCTAACTAGAAATGTCAGTATTATCAAAAATCAAATTTATGTATTTCATTTGTATGAGGACTTTTTCCCTCTATTTTCTTGATGTTCCTGTCTGTTTGTGTGCTAGTATTTTGCAGTTTAAATTACTACAGATTTAAATCATTTTTAATTTTTCATATTCCCTGTCAGGATTTACCTGACTACTTTTGCTTATTTTCCACTTTTGGATTAACTTGTCTGGAATCCTATTTCTATTTTTGTTGAGATGATGCTAAATATATAGGCTAACTTTAGGAAAATTGATGGTTTTTTTAAATGTTGAAACTTCCTTGCCAAAAATATGGTCTGCCTTTCCATCATTTAAACATTGTAAAAGAATTATTCTACACTCTTTCTATGTAAAGTTCTTACTTTCAGACATTTACAAAATTAATATATGGTCATATAGAAATCATTTAAAGTGCTAAAAACATAAAAGAAAAGTGCTTTATGTTTATGCTTTGTCACTCAGATGACAAAAGGTGCAGTTAGTAGTACAAACAGGAGTGTATGTACAATTACCCAAGTGGCAAAGCACCGCACACATCATTTTGTAGGCTGGGGCTTAAGTTAGTATAGATGATGAGTATAAGATGGTGTGAATATGAGTCATCAGCTAACTTTCTGTAGATTTTTAATTCCACGCTACTATGCAGTTTAAATAATCTGCCTGGATGGTACCTTACCTAGAAGTCAGATGTTTACTATTTCCTATATTTATCTATCCTTCTCCACTGACATAGAAAACTTTACATAGCTGCAACTATAACCTAGGCATAATACAGCACTTTGCTTTTCCTCTTTGTCATACATCAGTTTCTCCCAAGTAGTTATATAATCTTTTTTAATATCAGTTTTTAATTATTATTTTTATGGCAGTATACCATTCATTGCATTATACAACGTGTCATCATTAATCCTACTGCAAAATGTTTAAACTGTACCATGATTTCTAAACAGTCTTAACTCATTTAAATTTTGATGCTATAATATCTCATATTAATATAAAATACATCTTAATAAAAATTATAGCATGTTTGTACATGGTAGCTTTCAGTTTTTATTTAGTATGAATTCTCAAACATCATACATTGCCTTATCAAAGGGATGAATATTTTTGCAATTAATAAGTACCAATATGTAATGCCATATGCAATGTGTGAATGTATTATTTTTGATCATTAGGATTTCCAGACACTTAAGTAATACCCGATTCCTGTATTTGTGTTTTCTCTGATTTCCTTTTTCATTCCTTAAAGGCATACTGCTGCATCTTAGGTGAAGAATATAGAGCAGAAGTTGTGAGTCGAGATTAGGTTGAGGAGCTCTGACCCTTCTAATTTTGAGGTGCATCCTAACTGCTGGGGAATCGGTCTTTCGTGATTTGTGTCCCTTTTCCTGGTGGATAGGTCAGTCCTGGAGCCGCTTTTTGAGCGCAGGGCTTCATCAGGTGCCAGGGTTGAAGACCTGTCCCTCAGAGAGGATGGCGAGACCCGGACTGCCAAGTTCAAGAGGAAAGACTGGAGTCTGAGCAAGTCCCAGGTCATTTCAGAGAAGGCTGCAGACCCTGACCTAACGGTAAGGAATAAAATCAGTGGAAAGAAACAGAAAGCCCTCAGGCCAAGCGTGTCCCGGTGCCCTCCAGAGCATCCAGTCATAGGTAGTGTCAGGTCACACATGGGGGAGAGGAAAGCATGCATGGAGAGCATCGGGCTCTAAGTCAGTACGGGTGAAGGTCTCATACCCACAATGCAATGTGTGCCTTTGGTTCTGTGAGTCAATCAAAGCATTGTTATTTCTCTTCTTTTGACTTAAAAAAAAAAAAAGTTCTATTTCTTCCAGAAGCCACAGCAAGTTGTTAAGCGTAGAGAAACCAGCTTTCCCTGAGAATCAAGGTGGCTCATTGCTAACCTGAATGATCACCAACTGTGGTCAAAATGAAACCAGTGGCCAACTAGGAAGGAGTCCGTGGCCCCAAGGTTCTTAGAGTCTCTGCCATGGTCCCCGGCATATGCCGGTGTGGAGCCTTGAAAATGGTCCCTGAAATTAGGCCCTTTTCCCAGTTCCTCTCAGCAGACATGGCTCTTCCGAGCATTACTGGGCTCAGCCTTCCTCACTGAGATAGTGTTTCACTGTGTTTTCCTCCTTGATGCCAGAGCGCAGCCAAAAAGATACAAAGGCCCAAGAGTCTTCAGCTGGTGGACAGCCGCTTAGCTCCATTCCACAGCTCTGTGCCCCCTCAGGCCACGCCCTTGAGCCCGCCTCCGCTCACGCCCAAAGCGACCAGGACCCTGAGTAAGTTCCGATGCCTCTTTCATTCATTATCTTAAGGAATGGAGCATGTTTATGAATGTGGGTGATTTTTGATTAAGCCAGACAGAAATAATATGGGAAGTATACGAGCTTGATTCAGTTCTGCGTCCACAGATATAGATGGGATTTTGGCAAGGCTCCCTGGCCTGCCAAGATCATTAAATTTTTCTGAATAGTGATCCAAAGCTTCTGAATAGCCTTTATCCAATTGCAGAGGTATGAACGAGAGAGGGTCAGAGTACAACCAGACAGAAAGCAAGTACCTTGTGAACTAATTACTGAGGGTTAGACCTGTTCATGGACAAGAAATGGACTCATTCCATGGACTGCTTGCAGTCTGGCTTGCAAAACCAGCAACACCACAACACTTAAGAAAAACTACAAGTTGCCAGTAAAGCCCAGATGCATCACGGAAGGAGAGATCTACCATTGCCAAATGGGAGCCAGTCTTTAAGCAAGAGTTAGACATAGTTCGATAAGGTCTTCTGGAGCACTCGGGACGCATCAGACGATGAAGTAATACCATAAATCCCAGAAATGTTCTGCGCGGCAGCTTAACAGTAAACTCTGAACAGAACGTGGAATTTTTACCTTAGAATTTCTTGTAAAGCCTTCTGGTGAGTGAAGGTCGCTGTCTTTATCAGGAGGGTTGGGTAACCGTCTGCATTCCGTCCATAAAATCCATCCAATATGCATGAGCAGCTCGACCGACCGGGCTGTGTCAGCGGTTACTCTCGTTTCTGAGGTTCCTTGGTAAATCCTTCTGTCCCCCTCCATTTTCTTGGTGTCATCCGCAGGCTCCCCGTCTCTGCAGACAGACGAGCCAGTGGCTGCTGTCCCACCTCCTCCTCCCCCCAAAAGCAAGCCCTATGAGAGCAGCCAGCGGAACTCCACCGAGGTAGGGAGCCCCTGTGGGCAGTGGGCCTCACAGCATACGCGAGGACATTGCAGGGTGTTCTTCGAGCCCTCGAGCGGACAGGTTTTCCTACACATTTGTCCCTGTGGGGACCCTTGGTTCTTTCCCCAAAGAGAAGGGGAGGAAAGACGCAGGCAGGCCTTTGCAGAACACTGGACACGCAACAGTAGTCTGCGCTCGAGCTGGGGACAAGCGGACAGGTGGTGTGAGTGTGTTCTGCTTCACCCCAAGAACCGCTTCTGCGTGAGAGAGCTGTCCTGGAGCGGGCTCCCCTTCCTTCGTTCAGCAAATACGTACTGCATGCCTCCTGTGCGTATGCTGGGTACCCAAGTGTCGAGAATACAGGATCATGAGAGAGAGGAAGAGAGGGAAGATGTGTTCAGCTGATGGGTTCAAGGAGGACCCCTGGGTCTCACTTCCCTCTTCACCTTGCAAAGGTCTCTGTAGATAAATGCAGATCGATTCACTGCTAAAGCAGAAAGTGGAGGTGAGGAGGAGGCAGGACTGGGAAGAGAGAGGAGACTCGTTTCTGATTTCATGTGTCTGCTCTCCAGATCGCGCCCCCTCTGCCTGTCCGAAGAGAAGCCAAAGCCCCACCCCCACCCCCTCCAAAGGCCCGGAAGTCTGGCATCCTTTCTTCTGAGCCTGGATCCCAGTGAGAATTTTGCCCTTGCTCTGCAACTCGGAGTGCCTTGGACAGTTGCTGCCTGAGACCCGGTCTCCTGGGGCTGCATCCTCAGGACCTGGCGCTCCCTGCTGGCTGCCTTTCCTGACGTGGGACGATGTTTACTAGCTCAAAACTGGGTTTGTTCTTTTGGGAGCTTCTCTTTCATGAAAGTCTGCGTCTCCGCGGTCCACTCAGCCATGTGGCATTCCAGAATTGGCTGTCTCCTGTGTGTGTGTTGAAGGAGCACGCTCCTTCACCGGGATTACTTTCCAGCCTCTGCCAAAGAGGCAGTGGCATCTGCAGCCCGGAAGGAGGGCTGCTCCTGGATGCTCTTCTTGCTTTGCTTCTGAAAAGCTGCACTCGAGACTTTGTTGATCGTCTCACACATGCATCCCTATCCCATCCAGCCTCTTGGAAAGCTCGCATACCAAGGACTCTCTGGGAGCCCCGTCTCTTTGGAGGCAAAAAGACATTTTTATTGGAGATTCGCTGCTTTCAGGTGTGAATAGCAACCACTGAAAAATGATGGACTCTCATTGGACCACACTCCTGACCAACAGCCTGCCTGGTGCAGCAGTTGCTCCTTCTCGCTGCAGACCCCTCTGAGGCTCTTTTGCACAGTTTCTTGTCCCGTCCCTCCTCTGAGCTCAAGTGCCCAGCTGGAAGAGACCTAGGAATCCACAGCCAGCAGCTTTTTGTTTAGATCCCATTCGGATGACTCTGGCCTCTGTCTGCTACCTGATTTTACCCTGGAAAATACAGTGCAATATTTCCCTTATGATTATTTATTCCTCTTGATCATGGATTTAATTTGCTAATGGTACTAATGTCAGTACTCCTTTCAGAAGAATAAGTGGAGTGTTTTGGATGACCAAATATTGCATACTCACCAGTAGCCACATGAAGTTACAGATGTTTTGAGCTAGAAGTGTTTTCAAGTCATGAAAAAAAAAAAAACTCTTGTGTTGTAGATAAGGAAACTGGGGCTACACACAGAAAGTGGTAGTACAGATTATTACTCATAGCTCAGCTTGCTCACGGGCTGTCCCTGGAAAATGCCTAGATCTAGATAGAGGACATCACTGACAGCGTCTTTTATGCCTAACCCTGGGTGAAACAACATTGGAAAGGCTCCTGGTATTTTTATAGTACTTAGCTGTTGATGACAATGTCCAGATAAGGGGAGCCCTCCCACAGCCTCCCTGACCTTGCCCAGCGTCCTTTTCTCCAAAGTCAAGAAGACAGAGACAGCGATTGCAGCTGGGTGTCTCTGCTCGCCTGCCTGCCTGTGTGCGTTCCCTGTGTCTCCTCCACCCTCTAGGCGCTGCACACCCGTTCATCACAAGGGTGGAGGAAACGCGAGCCAAGTCCATTGCGTTCCTCACGAAATTACTGTGTATATTCGAGGAGTGGCACAGAAATCTTTACTCTTTGCTCCTGTGATCAAGGAGGGAGAAACCCAAAAATATGGACTTCGGAATGAAACCTGTTTGGTTTCAAGTCCCAGCCGCGTCACCTATTAACTTTGCAAACTTTCTCCAGCATCTGAAGTTCTCTGAGCTTTCCTGTTCTTTCTCTCCAAATGGGGACAGTCCCTTCCACTCTGGTTGCTGCAGGGTTCCAGTGGGATGGAAAATGTGAAGGAGGAGCCCTCACACCACGGCCCTTTCTTTCTCCTAGACCCAAGTAAGGTCCAGAACTTCTAAGGGCATTGTTGACATTGTTTTATTTTAATTCAAGGTTACTCGGGATGTGAGTGTGGGACAGTTCTGGACATACAGTCCTTCAGTCCTGCCCCAGCATGCTGCCTTTTATATGGTTATTTGTAACCCGAGAGAGTGCTAATAGGAATTGAAGAGGATTTTAAGAGGAAGGAATTTCCCTCCAGAGAATGGTTAAGAAGGCCTCCTTGGTGCCCGAGACTACCTCTGAAAGGTCACCTAACAGGCTGGCCGGAAGGGATTTGTCCCACCCTACTTATCAGACTGCCATAGAAGTAGGAAAATAAAAACAGGGCAAACAAAAATCCCAAACCTCCTGCCCATGCTCCCAGCACAATGTAAGTGAACCCTCAGCCTGGCCTTTCAGCAGAGGCTGGGAGTTTGGTCCATCTGTGCCCAGCTGCATTTCTTTTATAACGGAATTTATTCTTCCATCTGCTTCCCTTTCCCTGTTAATGAAAACAATAGCTCTCAACAGCCTGAATGCAGCGGATTCCAGGTAGTGTTTTGGGTACTAGGTTGTAGAGGACACAGGAAGGTTCGTTTCCTTGGGAATTTATGCGGCAGGAAAGAGTCATATTTGATAAAAACTCATATATGTCTGCCCTGAAGTCAAAGAGGAGACTGCAAAGAAGTTCTTATGATTATATCAAGTAATGATGAGGTGACTAGATGACAAACGGGAAGACAAAAGTTTTTATTTTTTCTTGCTAAGATCTCTGGAATATTGGAAGACATTGAAATTACCTCCCAAATTGTCACAGCCTTCGTGAATATTGGCTGTAGTTGGTTGCTTTGTGGTGGTCTTTACCCCCCCATCTCTCCCTATGATCTGATGACTTGTCTTGCTTTGGGATATTTTCTCAATTGTTTCCTTCAACATACATGAAGTTTTTATGGAGGTCAGATGCCAGGCCTAGTAGTAACCCTTCGGGGGACATGTTCAGTGCGAACATCCCAGTGTACAAGGATCGTGGTACTCACTGTGGTGTGTTGTGGGATTTCAGAGTCAGGGATTAGATGAAAATGGACCCTAAGAGAGACCGCAGGGGGAGTCTTTCCTCCACGCCAGCCTTCACCCCTTGACTCCAGTGTCAGACACTTCCTCTCACCAGAGCGATCTGTTAACAACAGCCCCACTGCAGAGCCATAAGATAAAATAAGATTGGAGCAGGACTTGAGATAACAGTGCATTCCCTAGCTCTATCCAAAATCCAAGTGTCTTTCCCTGGCTGTCTCCAGAGAGGGTGTGGCTTATTTTAAAATTGAAACACAATTTGTATAAAGTGCACATATCTTAGGTAGGCGTGCAGATGGATGGGTTTTCAGATTGCTAGACACCCATGTCAGCACCTCTCGGACGCAGACGTGACTTTTCCCAGCACACCAGAAGGTGCCCGTGTGCCGTGCACCACTGTATGAAAGGCATTTGGAAAGTCCTCTGCGATGCGTGCCTTCCTCCCTCATGCTTCTCAGGTATCATGAAAAAGGGGGGAAAATGCCACTATCAATGCAAATTTAGATTATAAAGATTTTGTCCCTTTAGCAAGTAAATTCTTAGTCACTCTGTGAACCTGTTCCCTCACCCTTAAAAAAAGACACACCTACATATATATTTGAGGCTGCATGATTGTTTTAATCCTTTCAGTTCTTGCTTCTCAGTGAACCAAAAGAGAAGAGTCAGGAGCAAACGGTACAAAGGCTTTCAGGTTCGTGAACTGGAATGCTCATTTTTCTAAACCCAAGTTGGTGTTTTGACCCTCCCCTACCTTGATGGTTAAGATCAAAAGGTTTGTGAATATTATAATAATGTATCTAGCCCGGTTTTTCCAATATTGACGTAAGTTGCCGTGATTGCCTGCAGCAGCCTGTAAGCAGTGTCATGCAGACTACAGCCGTCTTCGGATCTCACCAGCCGGGCCCACCACAACTAGACTTCCCGTGCGTTTCAGTAATCCTGCATGCCTTTCCTGTGTGATTTGGGAAGATCATAAATATTACTTCCTTGGAAACTTTCATTCTGCTCTAAGTCTGGTATTGAAAGTTAAGTCAGGAAAAGTGAGGTTTCTCAGATGGGCTCCGAGTTGCGCCATCAGTTCTAATCTCCAAAGGAATACGTTTTCCCTCAGGTGAAGGGCTCCATTGTGATTCTTCAGATCCAGCCCAAACTGGCCCCTCACTTAGTCTACCACAGTCACCTCTCCAGTCAGCTTTTGGGAGTTGTTCAGCCTTTGTCCAAAATACCATGATTTTGTAGCTAGTTGGGTTTCAAACATGACCAGTTAGGAAGATGTGCGTTGAAGTAGAAGGGTTTTATTCGGATATGCTGTTATTTATTTTTTAAATTAAAAATGGAACTGTATTTTAAAACTTAATTATGTGTTTAGTTTGTTATTCCTGGTATGCTGATGAAGTGAAATCATGAATCTTAGAACTTTTCTTTAGCGACACCTTCCTCCAGACCGAGCACGCTCAGGACCCATCTGGCTCATTTCAGTACAGATCCTACTGGCTGAAACTTGTCCTGCCGGGTCTTGAGTCACCATCTTTGCCTGGAAGTAATAAAAACTGCAAAGCCTTTGGTTCTTTCCAGCCCTCCTGTCCATGCCTTCAGTGCCTGAGCTGGCAGCTTTTGGGTAACAGTTTATTTAATGGATATGCTCTATTTCTTTCCTCATTCACTGTAGCTCATGAGACAGAGGCAAAGAAAGATATAAAGAGGGCCGGGGATTTAGCTCAGCAGTTCCACCACCTGCCTCGCAAGTGCAAGGTCCTGACTCCAATTCCCAGTACCAAAAAAAAAAAAGAGAGACTGAAGAAGTTAGCATCTAATAACAATATGGAAAGGCTAAGAGCTGGTCCCAATGTAGTCTGAACATTAATGTCACCTGGAGCGAGATCACACCCTAGCCCCGTCCCATCGTAAGTTCTGAGGGGACAGTGACCCCCATACATCATAATTCTTCCACATCCCCTCATTTATTTCAACGTTAGACCCAAGTTAAGAAATCGCTACCTTGGAGGAAATGCAGCTTTGGAAAATGGGTAGAGTAGGTGTGTTTGGTACAGTCGCTGCCTGCATGGGTCAGGTTGGAGAGGGAGTGGCCAGCTGCCCTCAGGCAGAGTAACAGCCCTGCGTGGCCCTGGGCTTCTGTAGAAGTGTGCGGGTGTGTGTTGGAAGAGTGTCCCGGTGCTTTAAGACATGTAGTGTATTACTTCTGAGAAGCAGTAATGCTGCACTTACTGTGTGCATAAGACTCACCCAAACACCTGTTTAAAATGAGGGTGAATTGGGTCCTGAATGAACTTACCCACCTGGGAATCTTGGTGTCCAGGATCCCCACTGAGAATCCTTCACAGCTGCTTCCTCTCGTGCCGGTGGTCTCAGCTTTTCTCCAGACTCCTCCTAGGATGCTCTAGCTTCTAACCTCACTGAAATGTTGATCTGTTTCCAAACCATTCTTTTTGCTACAGGATCATTTAAAGCCATATCCATTGGAGAACTCATCGTACGAAATGCATGATTTGATTGTTTCCCCACCCTTTATTTGGAAAGGCTGCAGTCTCCTGCTCTTCTCCTTCCCCTGCACCTCCCACCTCCTCCTCCTCCTCTTTCTCCCCTTCTTTTTTCTCCCCCTCCTCTTCCAGTTACATTGATGAGTGAATTCAGATTCAGTGAAGTGTTTTAATATTTTGGTGAAAGCACCATTTTCTCTGATCTTCTTGGTTATTTGGCTCACTTGCAAATCAAGTCTACCCAACACGCTCACCTACATACGCTGCGAACCACCAGATGCCACCACAAGCCTGTGACACAGGCATCAGGCTGCCTGCTGAGCGTCTTTTTAATCCCATTCAGGGAAGCCCAGGCCCACAGAAACTGCTGCAGGTAGAAGTGGCCCAAGGCACCTCATGCTCTAAGTAGGATGTGTAGATTAAGTGGGTTGTGGTCTTTCTGAGAGTGCGCTCATCGATGTAAGGATTGTAAGTAAGTTCTGTTGCTTTTACAAAACTAAATAATTACTGAATAACAAATGAGTCTGTCCTCCTGAGTACCCAAGGATTAGTGAAATGATGCAGCTTATCTTTTGTTCCACCGCAGACTGAATCACGTCACTGCCTAGTTTTATTAAAGTGGGAGTGCAGGATTTAATTCAGTTTTAGAGATTCTTCAAATGCAGATGCTTAAGAAATGTATTATAGTCCAGCAGCAAGTATTATATTAAAACAGGGCAGTTCTCTGCCCAATGATGGGAGATGTTTCTGACCTCTTCTCAAATTTCCTAGCACCCGCCCTCCCACACACACACGTTTTCTGGCTTGGAAGGGCAGGGAGATAGGGAGTGAAGTAGTTTTATTTGTCCGATTAAAAGAGGAAAAAAGGCCTAAAACTATCCCGTCAGTTTGATGCTTAGACATTATCTGAAACTTAAGTTTTCCAGAAAGTCTCAGAGCCACCTACCTGGAAGTTATGAGGATAGATGAGAATATCGGTGTCATAGTGTCTGGAACCTCGTGACAAACTGGTCACCAATAAAACTAAGTCGACCATGAGCCCCAGTGTCCTGTTTCAGCTCCAGTTAACAACCCAGCTCCCAAGGATGCAATCTCATTGTCTGCCTGTCCCAAGGCAGCACCATGGGTGGAAGCAGACAGAAGAGTAGGTTCCCTAGCTGAGTCTCAATTCCCTTGCTTTAAAGTAAGGAGGACAACAGTGTCCGTTTTCCATCTATTGCTAGTGAGAATACTTGTGCACATGTCCTGACTTTGGTCTTTGTGGAGTGAAGGTGGTGGTGCTGTATGGCCAAGGGCCGTGGAAACACCAGGGTCTTATCGTCAAGGGACCGTCTATACTCCTTCCTTTTTCACGTGAAATGCCAAAAAGATCAGGCAGGTGAAGACTACTACTGTTAGACCTTGGCCCCTCCTATGGTTTGGATGTGTTATGTCCCCAAGAGCTCCTTTGCTGGAAGGTTGGTCCCCAACATAGGGTGTTGACAAGAAATTTGGAGGTAGGGCTGGAGATTTAGCTCAATGGTGCCACCGCCTGCCTTGCAAGCGCAAGGACCCGAGTTTGATCCCCGGTACCAAAACAAAGAAATTTGGAGGTCATTAGGTCATGGTGGCAGGGATTAATGCCACCTCACAGAAGCGGATTTGGTCTTACGGAACTGGATTAATTCCCATGAGGGTGTAAAGTGAGGCCAAACACGGTGTACACTTCCCTCACTCCACATGCTCTCCCCGTGTGATGCTACCTGCCGTGTTTCAACAAAGCGTGAAACTCTCCCGAGGTGGCCCCCTGAGCTTGGATTTGACAGCCTCTAAAACCAAGTGGTGGGGACAACCTAGGGAAGGAACTTCCTTCCAGGTGGCAGGAAGCCTTCACTATAGCTCCGTCCTAACTTGTGCAGTGGTCACACATGAAGTTGCAATACAATAAGTAGCTGAGTCACTCTTTCTGGCCTGGGTCTCTTCCCCTCCTTGTGGGCACAGGGCAGGGGCGGGAGTGAGCCAGGAGAGCGATCCCATTGGTCAGCAGAATGCAATTACGTCACCTCCCGTTCCCCTCTGCCACCTGTCCACGTGTGAGGAGGGGCTCCCTTTCCTTGTCTTTCCGCTCAGGTAAACGACGACATTTCTATCGCTGCGTTCTCAACACAGAACTTTATTATGAAATATGAGCATATTGATGTAGAATTTCTGAGAGCCGCACAGTTTATAGATATTTCATGGGTCACGAATTTGTGTCAGTGTTACACATCGATGTTGTTGATCCTTCTGGCCTGATACATTTAAAACTTTTTCTGCCCGGTTTCCTCTTCCATCAGACTTTCCTGAAAAACATGTAAGTAACAACTATATCAAAGTTGACGACTGGCCGAATTTCATTATGTTTTTTGATACTTTCATTTTGAAAATACGGATCTAGGAGAGACAGGCCTATTTGTTACCATGCACTAGAGAGTGCTAGGGAGTATGGTGGATTGTGTCTTTTTAGGCTGCCAAATCTACGTTTACAATATTTAGGGATGAGATATGTGGATGGAGATAAAAGAAAAAGCTGATCTGAGCAATTAGCTTGCAATTAAGCCAGTCCGCCTCTATTCCTTCATAGTGTCATGTTTGGGAAATTTCACTGCTTATTTTTATCAGGCAGTAAGCAGAATTTTAAAATGGAAGAAAATAAAGATGTCTCCCACCCCACTTTCTCTTTATCCTGCGGGTATGGAAGTTGAAGTCACTGGAGAACATAATTTTATGTGTGACCTACTCAGACTCTCCCCGCTCCTGGGGGATAATTACCCATAATGCTTTCTGACTGCTGCAAACAAGTGAAGCACGGAGCTCCGGAAAGAACCCTGTTCCGGAAGTCAAGATTTCATTTCAGCATTCCGTAGTTTCCTCATCACGCACCTATATTAATTAGTAGGTTCCACTTTTAGTGGGAAATTAGTCTGAAGAGAAAATTAAAACTCATGTCTGTGGCTCGGGACTATGGGTTTATGAGTTTGGAAAGTTTTAATCCAAAGGGGGAAAGAACACGTCTAGATGGTTCCTGGTTTCTGTGTTCCCGGCGTCCTGGGAAACCAAGTCATAGAACAACTGATGAGCCCCGTGAGAAGGTGCGGATCAGCCTAGTGGAGAGAGTCCGACAAGTGAAGATGCTTGAAGAGTTAAACACATAAGGAGGCAGATACTGGTTTTGTTGGTCGTCTCAAATGAGCAGCTAATCAGCAGTCAGATTAGCAGATAAAGATTACAGAGATTTCACCTCAACTGAACAAAAAGTTTCCAGCCACCAGTGCTATGTAACCAGTGAGTGGGGAAGTCATGGGTTCCGGGCAGTCAGGAAGGTGGGCCGACAGCGGACCCCAGGACCCCTCCCAGCTCAGAATCAGGGTGCTCGTGACTGACTCACCAGAGCCCCTCGCAGGTCACTGAGGGGGGAGCAGGGCTGGTGAAACGCGCATTCAGGATGCTGAGGTTCTGCCAGGTGACGGATCTCTTTGGCTATCTGAAAAAAAGAGCGTGATTCTTGGAGGTGAAGATAAAGAAAGAAAATATTTTCCTTTGCCACCAAAAATTGTGGCAAATGAGGCCCAGAAGTTGCAGGGCTGAGCTATGGAACTTTAAGGACACAGATCCGCCGGCAGACTTGCTGGAGATGACGGGGACACTAGGAAGAGAGCGTGTCCTCTCCTGAGAGATGATGAGAGGGAGGCACTTTGGATCCCACAAAAGAACATCACATAAAACTGAAGCGCCCATAAAGATGAACAGCATTGGTCTTTGATTCCTGGCTTTCACTACCGTCGTTCACTGGCATTTGCTTCACGTATCACCCGTGGATGCTGGAGCTGCTTTATTATTTCTCCAAAGAGAAATTTCCAATAAAAATGAAATCATAGTACGCAACTCTGTCTAAATTTTCCCATCTCAGCCCCGTGTTACTTTTTGATGAATTGGCTACAATAAATGGCTTTTCTCCTTTAATCTTCGCCCACCCCTAAGAAGTCATATTTTATAGATAACAGAAAGTACAAAAACCAAGTACCCCACGTTAGTGTTGGTAATCTAATCGACATGAAATTAAACCCAGCATGTTTTCCACTGCACTATCTTGTCATCTGAAGTTCGCTAGCTTCCGGCCTCCAACAATCTCTAGTTTCATTTAACTGCCTCTGTTAATGAAAAGATTCCACAGAGCATGCATCCTGATGAAGACCCTTACTTATACATTGTGAAAATGTATTTCAGATATAATTCTATAGATTGTTTCTGATGCTGAGGATTGATTCCTTCATAGGTATTTTTAAAGAAAAAGAGGAGGTCTGAAATTTTCTTTCTAATTTCAAAGAATCAACTTTTCCTACTGAAGTTGACCTCACCTCATTGTTTCTAACCCTACTAGCAAATGCACACATTTAAAGCATGACATCCTACCTACACTTGTTGGGCTATTCTCTTGCATTTATCCGGCTCTTTATTTCCTTAGCCCCTGTCTGAATTCAGAGAGGAATTGGATTTCTACTTTGTAAGAGTCTTGTCTCCCCTAGTGTACGTAGGACAGAGTGCAGAGCCAAGCCTTTGAATCTCACACTGAATGTTTCCTGTAGCTAAAGTGAATGAAATAAACTGAGTCTCCATTTTGAAGCTGAGAAAACTTACCTCTTGGAAAGAATCAACCAAGGTTTCAGCATTTCTCTTTCCTCCAGGACGCAGGCCATAGGACCAGTGCTGGCCTGAGCCGTTTTCCACACATAAAGTCAACAGGATGAATCCAGCCAGGAGTTTGGGAATCGGCCCCATTCTAAGGAACATTAATGGACTTTCAAAATAGACCCAGACTGGGTTGAGTGAAAATGAAGAACTAATGAAAAACCTACTACTGTCTGTATCGTTCACCCTACACGTTGGTGCCAGTTTTTCACACAGACACACAGGAGTGAACTTTTGCTTGTTCACCTTGAATTTCCTAGCCATTGAGGGCAAAGACCAATACTTTAAACCACATGTGCAGCAATTTTGTGCTATTACTCCATTTTTATTATTTACTTGGTTACTCAAAAGCCATGATTCATCCCTTACCAAATTCACTTTTTTGCTTTGTACCGGTCTTCAGCTTTATCATTCCTGAGTTACAGAGAACTATACCAGCTGCTCTGAAAGTAGCCCCTCCTAGGTGTCTCGGGCTACTGTAGAGTGAGTTGCTTGATGCAGAGAGCTGCACTATGGTACTAATGACATTTTGGTATCTTCCCCTCTATCTTTTCAAGCCTTACTGCTGGCTAGCCCATCTGTGAGAAAGAAGACACAATAGCATTCGGAGTAATGAACCCAGGGCAAAATCGTCCCTTGCCAAGGGGGCTTCTAATTAATGTGCCTCCAGATGAATTTTCATTGGATGAAGATGTGAAGTCAGAGTCAAACACTGGCAGATCTCCATGGCTGGTGTGACAAGGAACAAAGCTGCTTAGCCACCATCCCACCTGGCCTTAGTCCTTGGGTTATGCAATGCCCTGTAGACATAAAATAGCATGCCATCTAAAAAAGCAAACGCAATACCAGTGATAGTGCTAGAAATACAAAGTATTTTACCTGTTGGGAGGTGAACAGCCAAAGAGCCTCAAGCTTGTGTTGAGTATTGTGACTTCTCTCTTCCTTAGTTTCCTTTTTATATGAGCCCTTTTCTGGACACGAGAATCTTTCCTGCTGGTAAATTATGCTGCTTATGAACTACAGCTTATTTTAATAGAAAGGATTTTAATCCTCCCATAATGCTCTCTAATGGCATAGGTAATTGGAACACCTGCTGGTATATCTGTTAAATTTACTTAAGTCTGGCCATGAAAACCTCAGCTAACACTTTTATAGCTGAGGCCACCGCCCAGAGATTACAATCTGGCTAGGTTGGATTCCCTGAGGAAACTGGAAGTTTAAGAGGTTATAATGAACAGACATCTCAGATTAATATTCAAGGCTCCCACAAAAACTTTCACGAAGAAGGCTATGCAATAAATGTACTGCACACTGTGTCCGGTTATCTGTGACCTGCTCTTAGCTTGTAGATTCCGTTTGCAAAAGGATTTAAACCAGATAATCAGAGAATTGCTTCCATTCTTAAAAGCCCCATTAATGAGTGATTATTGGTACTAGGATTATTCTAATTCCATATAAGATTTTAAAGTAGATAGTTTGAGTGTGACAATCCAGCCATTCTAACTATCAAGTTCTCTCCTTACCTTGAAAGCCATCCATAGCATCAAAAAAGTAAGAAAAAACACTGAAAGACCATACTGAAGAGAATCTGGTTAACACCAATTTATTTCAGTAAATGTTTAGTGAGTTAAAATATGCAAATCACAAAGATGAGCAATAATAGTCATGTGCCTGTGGCTAAGACTAACTTCCCTGCAAAGTTCTTATCATCATCCGAATTTCCTGCTTCTCAAAGATGAGATAGGGGCCGGGAGTTTGGCTCAGTGGTTCTGCCGCCTGCCCTAAAGATGAGATCATCCTCTTTGCCCAGGCTGCCCTCAACCTCCTGAGTTCAAGCCATCTTCCTGCCTGGGTCTCCTTAAGACTGGGATAACAGGTGCGTGCCACTGAGGTCTACTATGTCATGCAGATCTTGGATGTTCCACCCCATGCCACAGATTTCTTCAGTGGCATGACCGTGGACATGTTACTTATACAAGCATTTACAAAAGAAATAAAACCATTACTTTTCTATTACATTTATTTGAATACATGATTGTGTTACTTTAAGTTTCCCCTGGTCTGTAGCCCACGATAATCTAAGATTCTGTTCTTTTACTCACCTGTTAATAACCTTTGGTAGTTGGTCAGTATTTCATAAATACAGATTTGAATGAAATCAGTGAGTGAATGGAAGAAGGGAACTTTTAGCCGGATGAGGCCTAATTGTTCTATTCTGCTTCAAAGATGTTTTATCTGGTATAGAATTATACCTGTAATGCATTATAGGCTGTAAAGTCTGTTGCATTAGCTATGCCAGAATATTGTTTAAAAATACACATTAGTTCATTTTAGAGTGTCACCTCAGATAGGGTGATAAGCCCATCGGTCACTGTCTGGTGTCCTCTGGTTTAATTCCATCTGCAAGGATTTCAAATAAAGAGCAATAGTACCTTTCCCAAATAGATTTCCTTGGTTTACCCAGGCATCTCCATGGAGGTTGTCCAGCCCACAGGATAGCATAAAGGGATACATTTTAACTTTTTTTTTTTAACAGGGTCTCAATATGTAGTTGAGACTGACCTGGAACTCACTATGTAGCCCAGGTTGGTCTCGAACTCACAGCGATCCTCCTGCCTCAGCCTCCCGAGTGCTGGGATTGTAGGCATGTGCCACCATGCCCAGCTGAGCCTGCATTTGTCTTAGTTTGCACAGATCTCAAAGGCAAAAGCCAAATCTCCTTACTATCTCACCTTATCAAACTAGTATGCATTTGAAGATTTTTTGTTTTTTGTTTTTGGTACTGGGGATCAAACTTGGGACCTTGTGCTTGTGAGGCAGGCAGTGGCACCACTGAGCTAAATCCCTGGCCTTGCATTTGTTTTTGATATTTAATGAAACACTCTGAACTCTCATGACTCCATGGCTAGGCCAGTGTACCCCCCCGCAAAAAAGTGAATAAATTAGCTTTAAATATTTGGATTTTATAGTTGACATATTTTTCCTCCTAAATTTGTTAGAATGGCTTTAGAGGGGAAACTGCTTCATTCTCAACACTAAAACACCTCAAAATTATTACAATAATGGTTTCATAATCTTGTAGAATGACAGATGGGAAAATCCTTTTTTGCCCTAATGTAAAATCTCAGCAGGAAGAACTCAAGGTTAACTGTGGCTGACAAGTGTAATCAGATTGTAAAAGGGTCTCTCGGAATTAATCCTCAGATAAGGTACTTCAAAACTAAATGCAGCCATTTTGCTTCAGAGTAGTAAACTTTTAAATTTTAAATAGAGTACAACTTCCTTAGGGATTTTATAAAATTTTAGGGCTTTTCACATATTAAAGATGACAAGTTGACTTGAGGGCAGACGTAGAGTATAAACAACAGATTCATAAAATGAAATGGAGAAAACACTGTCTTGATTTATAATGGAAATCTTTGCCAGAAAATAACTTTATTGAGCATGGTGGCGTACAACTACAATCTCAGCTACTTGTAGGCTAAGGGAGAAAGACTGGAAATTAAGAGGCCAGCCTGGGCAAGCTAGTGAGACCCTGGGCTCCACCCACAGTGTGGGGGATTTGGGGGTTGGGGTGAGAGTGTGCATTTCCTAAGATTTCCTTCAAAGTACCTGAAGGGATTAGACTACACTAAAGCATAATATGTGTTGCTTTAGAGCACTATACTCTAACCAACTTAGATTCAAAATCTTCCAACTTTGTGTATAGAAAACATGTTTTGTAATTAGGGCTATTCAAAGTTTTACTATTTTGAAACTTTCCCCCGCATAATTCTCTCTTACACAGTTGTCAGGCAAAGAAATGTTTGCGGGATATATTATTTATTCAGCATAATAAAGCTACTAAGGGTTGTCAGCTAAAGATCATTACAAATTACTGGAAGGCAGTCTTTTGATCAGAATGAAGTTTTTTATGATTTTGAAAAGATCATAAATGAATCTTGTTTGAAGAAATGAGCTAACAGTGGATCCTTGACTTACAAACTCAAATGGTTCAACTCAGTTGGTCGTAACTCAGGTTGGATAATTGAAGGCTTCTCTACACAGCTTTCAAACTCTCTCTCCTGTATAATTTTAGGCCACACTTTCTTCCAGACAGATGTTAGTGTCCTTAAGAGACACTGGCCCAAGATTTCTCAAACCCACATAGGAAAGCATGCTGCAATGTTCCTCCCAGAGCTCTACGGGTTAAATCTTATCTGAGACCATTTGGAAGCACAAGTGACCAGCATTCAGTTCATAAGTCATGACTTAGGTTTTAAGTTAAAACTAAAATTCCAGTCATAAGTACAGGGCCCACTGTATTTTAATGGCACCTCTAAGAAACTAATCCTTAAGCAATGTTATACTGCATTTCATTTTTCACCCAGACCCTGGTTGTCAACCCAGACTGAAGAAATGTAAGGAAAACACAAAGTGCTGATTTTCAAAATCAAGAGATGAAACTTATTTTCAACATTTCACAGCGTTTATTAATGCAGTATAACTTAGATCCAAAGCCTGCAGTTTCTAAGTACACCACTAAGATCTTTCAGATCCTTCTGCAACTTCAGATTTATCTACAGAGGTACCCTTCAGTGAATGAACAACACATTCTATAATTATTGAAAATATAGTACAGAGTGAAATGATTTAAATATAATTTAGGCACATATTGATTATGAAAATAGATATCTCTCAATACAATACTTCTCTGTCTTGGTAAAAATAATAAAGCAAAGAAAATAATTCATTTCTAAAGTTGCTTTCCTTCACCTGTAAAGGTCCAATCCCCTCCCACTGTGCATAAGTACCCTTTACTGTTAAGGAAAGCTTTGCATATGTAGATATAGAAGAATAAGCTACGGAAATACTGAAGATATGTCATCTCCCAAAGGAGACAAAAGTGGTTTTCAGTGATTCGTTGCCTCAAGCTGGTGAGTATGGGATTCAGAACCCATTTGGACACAGCGTATATCCCTGCTCTTGGGGTACACATAAGGACACTGGGGTACCAGTAGGGAAGTAAAGGCCCCATCCTGCTGTCTCAGAGAGATAATGACTCAAGGAAGCTGGGCTACAATTTGACAAAAACCACCAAAAAAGACAAGTCAAAGAACCACAGGTGCTGACAGGTATTACGAATCAGACCAGCCAAGGTGATTAATATTTTGTGGTTATAATCATGCTGTCAATTTAAAATCCCACATTTCCCACTGTAGGGTTTGAGCTACAGTTATGTCACCTTCTGAAAGGTGACTTTGCCAGGCT